GCCGCCGGGGCACAAAGGCAGGCGCGGCAGCTCCGCCGGAGCCCGGGAGCCGGAGCGGTAGGGGCGGGAGGCTGGAGCCCGTTCAACGATTGACAGCGGAAGGTCCGCCGCGGGGAGGAAGGGGCACCCCGCCGGCCCTGCGGAGCTGGGGCCTTTTGCGGAGTCCAGGGCAAAGATTTGGGCCCCAAACCCGGATCCTGCAAATGCTGACCGGCTCTGTCCCGGCAGGGACTTTGAAAACGCACTTACCGTTTGCTTTTGAGACAAGAGCCGAGTACTATGTGCAGGAGGAGAATTAATTCCTCACGCTCCCCTCCGGGGTGCGATGGGGGATGCCGAAGGTGGGGAAAACTCAAAACGTGGGGAAAACTCAAAACGTCGGCAAAACACGCCGCTGACTGTCCCGAACCCAAAGTTTGGGGATGCAGAACTAGAACTGCGGCTGAGAGCCGAGGCCTGATTTTCAGAAGCTGAAGCGGTTGGCGCTTTGGAGTTACCAGGATGTTGGAGATTTTGTGTAGAGAAAGAGAAAAGTTTTAGCGCTCTGTTTCTTTGTTTTGCTGGCGAGCAGGCTTTCCCCGACAATGTGCTGCCAGCCGTGTCTTACCGGCCCTGCGCTCCCTGAGTGGAGCCAAGCTGCAGAATCCGTCCTTTCGGGACGCCCGTTTCAACCTGCTCATTCACTAAAAAGCGTGGAGTGAGTCATAGCTCTCGGTTTGTAAAACTTCACAAGCATTTCCATTCCTAGTTTCTGGCAAACAAAACTCTGGTGCCTTAACCCAAAGTGCTGCCTATTTTCACTTTGCCAGTGCATTCCCCCCCCCGGTGCTTGAACATCTGTGATGCTACAGAGGAAACCAGCGCCTTTTGGCTGGGTATTGCCAAAATCACAGGGGCAATGCTCAGGCTAGATGTCAAGCAAACAGCAGTGGAGAACAGCAGGTACAAAGGGTCCCACGGTGAAAATGGGGTGACAGCTCGTGGCAGTGCAGACGAGGCACCGTGCTCACACCCCACTGGGCTCTTCTGCCATAAGGGGCATTATTGCTAGTGCATGAGAATGTGGTGGATATCATAATCAGGCCCGTTACCCTTAAAAGGTATTATCACATACAATTATTCATTTTCTGTGTCACTTTTCATTCAAAGCTCCAGACACCTTGCTTGACTGATGTTGCTGTTTCTGCCGCAGCTTTGACAGCACGTCGCGGCATAGCTCGGAAGTTTAACTGAAGAGTTAGAGGGCAGTTTTCTGATGCGGTGTTGAACACTGGTGAGAATTTAGCCAGGCTCCAAGGTGAATCTATTCTGTCCTTGCAGAAAGAGAAGGTGTTCCTGGAGCTGGCAATGCGGCTAGACTGAACCTGCCCTGTCCCTGTGCTGGCTATCGGTGCGGGGTAGGTGCCGGACACTGCGGCTCTGAGCTGCAAGGCTCTTCAGATGTTTTTGTGCTCTCTCTGTGGCAACACATCACAGGATATGGAGCTGATGTATGCCGAGTGCTGTGGGACGGATTTCCACCTGCTTTTACCCCAGAGATGCTTGTTTTGGGGAGCACGTGGATTTTCATGCCCTGAGGAATTGTGCCCTTTCCGGGACTCCAACCTCACATTCTAA